CTATCATCCATGTCTCCTCAAGAATGTCTAAAGCATATTTTCTTTGAGAAATAACAATACCTGCGCTAGACTGAGCAACCTCAATACCTAGAAAGTACTTCAATCTACCTAGATCCTTAGTTTGTAAGTGCTGGAAGAGATGCTGCTTCAGATTGGTNCCTAGATCCTTAGTTTGGAAGTGCTGGAAGAGATGCTGCTTCAGATTGGTAATACTATCCTGATCATTGCCAGTAATAACAATATCATCAACATAGACTACCAGATAAATACAGAGACTTGAAGCAGAGTGCCGATAAAACACAGAGTGATCAGCTTCACTACGATTCATGCCAAACTCCTGGATAACCATGCTGAACTTACCAAACCAGGCTCGAGTAGACTGCTTTAGACCATAAAGTGACTGACGCAAGCGACATACAAGGTCACGAGACCCCCCCGAATAACAAAACTAGGTGGTTGCTCCATATAAACCTCATCCTCAAGATCACTGTGAAGAAAGGCATTCTTAATGTCCAGCTGATAGAGAGGCCAATGACGAATCGTGGCCATGGATAGAAAAAGGCGGATTGATGCTACTTTAGCCACGGGAGAGAAGGTATAACTGTAATCGAGCCCAAATATCTGAGTATATCCTTTGGCAACAATACGGGCCTTAAGTCAATCAACTTGGCCATCGGGATCTACTTTGACTGCATAAACTCAACGACAACAAACAGTAGATTTACCTTAAGGAAGAGGAACAAGCTCCCAAGTACCACTTGTATGTAAAGCAGACATCTCGCCACTCATAGCCTGTCACCATCTTGGATGAGACAACGCTTCACCTGTAGACTTAGGGATGGAAACCGAGGACAAAGAAGATATAAAAGCATAATGGGGAGATGACAGACAATGATAACTTAAACCGACATAATGGGGATTAGGATTAAGTATGGTCTGTATACTTTTCCGAAGTGCAATCGGTGTACAAGGAAGAGACAAGTCCGCAGTAGGAGCAGGGTCAGGTGCAGGACGAGAACCAATTGGGCCTGATGTAGGGCGCGGACAACAATGATAAGTCAAGAGTGATGTTCCTGTGACTGGGGATGTAGGAGGAACAACACTAGACTCCTCAACGGTTGGTATGGGTGAAACTTCTATGGTCGAAGGTAGAGGAGGAGCTATAGCAAACTCCTCAAAGGTCGGTATAGGTAATACCTCAAATATATCATGGTGGTCAGCAGAGGTAAAGAAAGGTTTAGACTCAAAAATGTGACGTCAGCTGACATAAGGTACCTACGAAGATCAGGGGAATAACAACGATATCCCTTCTGAACACGAGAATAACCAAGGAAGACACACTTATCTTTACCAGGGTCTAAGTTATGAACAAAACACGTGCTCCCAAAAACACAAGGTGGAAGAAAGTATAAGGGAGATTGGGGAAACAATACTGAATGCGGAATCTGATCCTTGATGGGAGATGAAGGCATCCGATTAATCAAATAACACGTTGTGAGAACTGCATCTCCCCAAAAACGCAACGGAACACGAGATTCAATTAGAAGTGTGCGAGCAGTCTCAATAAGGTGCCTATTCTTTCTCTCAGCAACCCCATTTTGCTGAGGGGTATAAGGACAAGATGTCTGATGAATAATTCCTTGAGAAGTCATAAACTGCTGAAATTGAGAAGATAAATATTCTAAGGCATTATCACTGCGAAAAATGCGAATAGAAACACCAAATTGATTTTTTATTTCAGCATAAAAACTCTGGAATATAAAAAATAACTCAGAACGACCTTTCATTNTGGAAGGACTGAGTGAGTTAAGGTAGTAAAGGCCTTCTGATTCACGTCCTGTACCAATTGTGTCCCGTACTGCGGTCCTGCATAATAAAAGAATCGTCAATAAAATATATACAATGGAGGGCACGAGTCAACTGACTAACAGATGCAAGACTAAAAGGACAGCCAG